GCACTTAACAACAACAACAACATGGTCCACTATGCCAGGAATGACAAATTGAAGAGGAATGGTGTCTCACTCATCATCAAAAAGAACATTTTAAAATCTATCCTGAAGAGACAGCTCAGGGGCAGGAATGCATGGGAGGGAAGGACACCGGGAAGAGATAACTATGGGGACGAAGTAGGAGGAGAGCTGTTGCCTTGTGGGAAATTGTAGTCAATGCCATGAGACAAAGTGTATGTGAGCTGCTGTATGGAAATTTGCTCTATAAATTTTCACCCAAACCACAATAAACATTAAAAAAAAAAAATCTATCCTGAAATACAACACTGTCAGTGACAGGATAATATCCACATGCCTACAAGAAAAGATCAGTTAATATGACAACTATTCACATTTACACACCAATCACTAATGTCAAAGATGAAAAAACTGAAGATTTTTACCAACTTCTGCAATCTGAAATTGATTAAACATGCACTCAAGATGCATTGATAATTTCACTAGTGATGAGAATGAGAAAGTTGGAAAGGAAGAAAGACTAGCAGTTGGAAAATATGGCTTGGTGACAGAAATGACATGGGAGATCTACATGACAGAATTATGCAAGATAAACAACCTATTCATTGGAAATATCTTTTTAACATCATAAATGGTGTTAATGGACTATACATGTATGTCTTGCCAGATGGAACACACAGCAATCAAATCAACTACGTCTGTGGACAGAGACAATAGGGAAGCTCAATATCATCAATCAGAACAAGGACAGGGGCTGGCTGTGGAACAGACCTCAATTGCTCATATGCAAGTTCAAGGTGAAGCTAAAGGAAATTAAAGCAAGTCCACAAGAGCCAAACTGCAACCTTGAAAAGATCCCACCTGAATTAAGAAACCATCTCAATTAGACACACTGAACACTAATGACTGAACATCAGAAGAGTTGTTGGAAGACATCAAGGGTATCAAATATGAGGAAACCAAAGGCTCATTAAAGACAGGAAAGAAAGAAAAGACCAAAATAGATAGAGGAGACTCTGAAACTTATTCTTGAATGGCGAGTAGCTAAAGAGAATGAAAGAAATGATGAAGTAAAAGAGCTGAACTGAAGATTTGAAAGGGCAGTTCAAGAAGACAAAGTAAAATATTTAAATGAAATGCACAAAGGCCTGGAGTTAGAAAATCAAAAAGGAATAATACACTTGGTATTTCTCAAGCTGAAAGAACAAAAGAAAATATTCAAGTCTTGAGTTGCAATAGTGAAGATTTCTATGGACAAAATTTTCAATGATGCAGGAACATCAAAAGAAGATAGAAAGAATACACAGAGTCACTCTAGCAAAAAGAACTGGAGGATGTCCAACCATTTCAGGAGGAAGCATATGCTCAGGAACCAATGGTAACAAAGTAAGAAGTCCAAGCTGCACTGAAGGCACTGGTTAATAAAAAGGCTCCAGGAATTCATAGAATACCAATTGACATGTTTCAACAAACAGATGCAATGCTAGAAGCACGCATTCACCTATGCAAGAAATTTGGAAGACAGCCACTTGACCAACCAACTAGAAGAGATACATGCTTATTTCCACTCCAAAAAAAGGTGATCCAACAGAATGCAGAAATTATCAAAACATATCATTAATATCATATGCAAGTAAAATTTTGTGGAATATAATTCAAAAATGGTTATAGCAATACATTGATGGGGAACTGCCAGAAATTCAAGCTGGATACAGAAGAGGACATGGAATGAGGGTTATCATTGTTGATGCTAGATGGATCTTGACTGAAAGCAAAGAATACCAGAAAGATGTTTGCTTGTATTTTATTGACTATGCAAAGGCATTTGACTATGTGGATCACAACAAATTATGGATAACATTGCAAAGAATGGGAATTCCAGAGCACTTCATTGTGCTCCTGAGGAACCTGTACCTAGACCAAGAGGCAGTCATTCAAACAGAACAAGGGGATACTGAATGGTTTAAAAATCAGGAAAGGTGTATGTCAGGGCTGTTTCCTTTCACCATAATTATTCAATCTGTATGCTGAGCAAATAATCCAAGAAGCTGGACTATATGAAGAACACAGCATCAGGATTGGAGGAAGACTCATTAACAACCTGCTATGCAGGTAAGACAACCTTGCTTGCATAGTCAATAAAATAAATAAAATAAAATAAGTGAAAAGGACTTGAAGCACTTACTGATGAAGATCAAGACTACAGCTTTCAGTATGGATTACACCTCAACATAAAGAAAACAAAAATCCTCACAACTGGATCAATAAGCAACATCATGATAAACAGAGAAAAGTTTGAAGTTCCATAATCAATGCTCATGGAACCAGCAGTATGGAAATCAAATGACATATTGCATTGGGCAAATCTGCTGCAAAAGACCTCTTTCAAGTGCTAAAGAGCAAAAATCTCACTTTGAGAACTAAGGTGCACCTGACCCAAGCCACAGGAATTTTAACTGTCTCATATGTATGTGAAAGCTGGACAATGAATAAAGAAGACTAAAGAATTGATACATTTGAGTTGTGGGGTTGGTGAGGAATACTGAATGTTTCATGGACTGCCAGAAGAATGAATGCATCAGTCCTGGAGGAAGTAAAACAAGCCTGCTCCTTAAAAGCACGGATGGCAAGACTCACATACTTTGGACATGTTATAAGAAGGGACTAGTCCCTGGAGAAGGACATCATGATTGGAAAAGCAGAGGGTCAGTGAAAAAGAGGAAAACCCTCAAAGAGATGGACTGACACAGTGGCTGCAACAACAGGCTCAAACAGGAACAACTGTGAGGATAGCACAGGAGTGGAGTAGCCTTAGTACTTAACAAATTTTGTCACAGATTAAGGCTCTCAAATGTGGAAGAGTAAATGAATATAAAGTGTGTCCCAGGGATATACTTGTTATATACAGCAAGGTAATTTTTCCTATCTTTTTCTCCAGAAAAAATGGTCAACCTAAAGCACAATAATGCAAGAGGTGCACAATACCTCATCTAACAGCAACTACCTCAAGAGTTGTCATTCTATGTATTCACCTGTAATATTAATTATTTGACAAATTTTTACTTTAAATCTTACAAACAGATCCTGCTATAAAACAAAATTAAACTTATCTAGTCACAGTAATGCCTAAGGCACTTGACTTCTAACTAGAAGGCTAGCAGTTCAAACCCAGCCACTCCTCAGAAGCAAGGTTGGACAATCTACTTCCATAGTGGTACCACCTTGGAAACTCAAGGAGGGATCGTTATGAATCAGGCCTGACTCAATGGCAAACAACAACAAGTCATAGTAACACTATTTTTAAAAAGTCAACAATGTTTTATTGAACATTTATCCTCATTAAAAAACACATAAAAATATAACTAAGCATCTACCCTCAAGGTGCTTAATTTCCAATTAGCTGGAGAGACAAGATGGGAATAACTAACAGTATGAAAAGAACATAATTAAATTGAATTGAAGGAGGAATGACTTATAAGCTGCATATTTTTCAGTAATGGCAAATGCAAACAACTACAATGTATTTTACAGGGAAACTCAAGTGGAAACCAAGCATATCGAATGAATCTGAAACTGTATTCTTCTCACAGAGATGCTAAACATCACATGATTTGCTATTGTCATACTGATCTCATCTTACCTGCAATAGCTGAGATGTATTCCACCTGGCATCCACATTCTTTTCCAAACACTTCTTTAGAAAATCCTTAAAATTTGACGACCTTCAAAATGAAATTTTAACAATGACATTCTATTTCACTTTCTTGTCATCAAAAAAAAATAAAACTCCTTGATAAATTATGCTCATTTCATTAATTATATAATAGTATGAATTAAACATATTAAAATTAATGGGAATATTAATACACATTCATTTGTAAATACTGTTTGACATACATGTAAGTGTATCGTTATAGTTACTGAGATACAGCTCTATATTCACAAACCAAAACCAAGAGCCAAACCCACTGCCATCGAATCCATTCTGACTCACAGTGACCCCCTCTGGGTTTCCAAGGCGGTAAATCTTTACAGAAGTAGATTGATTGCCCCAGCTTCTTTCTGTGGAGCAATTAGTGGGTTTGAACTGCCAACCTTCTGGTTAGCAGTCAAATGCCTTAGGCACTGTGCCACCAGTTGTTGTTGTTGTTGTTGTTGTTATTTGCCATCGAGTCGGCCCTGACTCATAGCGACCCCTCCTTGGGTTTCTGAGGCAGTATCACTACGGAAGTAGAAATGCCCAACCTTCCTTCCGAGGAGTGGCTGGTGGATTTGAACCGCCAGCCTTCTGGTTAGCAGTCAACTGCCTTAGGCACTATACCAGTGTTCCTTATATATTCACATGTATACCAAAATCACAGTAATTGTTCTTGTATACTAAATTCCACAAACACAGGTCAACCACTAATGCGTCCCCTTTTCAGAGCTTAGAAAATACCTTTTGCGTGCAGAATTCAAGTCACTAATATTTCCAAAAATTTGAGAAAAGTTAGTTCTAAGAGTTTGTATGGTCTGTAAGTCTTGAAAACATACCAAAAATCAGTTTTCTAATTCATATAGTCTTTGTACCAAATACCTAAATTTAAATAATTCTTGGAAATTTAAAATAAAATGAGTTTTGCTGCTTAAAAAGCTTTGTTTAGAATATTTTACCATCTTGATGGCTGTGCTAATGTAGGGGGCTCAGATTTTGCTATCTTTAGCAGCACTCGCATTGGATTTAATTCATGATGAGGTGGTTCTATCTCAGCCATTTCTATTAAAGTGATACCCAGGGACCACACGTCAGCTTTGTAGTCATAGGGTCTGTCCTTAGATGTTTCACACATGACCACTTCAGGAGCCATCCTACGAAGAGAAGGAAATGAAAGTTAAAATGGTAAATTTAAGAAGAGCAACTACAAACCACATAAAAGGTAAAAAGTATATTCAACTATGTGGACAAAATGAAAGAGTAATAAGAACTCCTGATATGACTAATAAAATTCATAAAACTGAATACATACCAATATGGTGTACCAATAAATGAATCTCTTCTTTGAATTGTCCTTGTGTTTTTAGCTGATACTCCAAAATCCGCTTGAAATAAATAATCATACAAAAACATTAATAACAGCTTTTAAGCATACTATACTGTATTCCAGAAAGCAGGATAGGGGAGAGAGCATTTCAAGATTTTAATAAGGCAATTCTTATGAAAGAGGAAACAAAATAAATAATTTCTCTACTACCCTATCAAAAAAATAAATAATAAAAATAAGGAGCTCTGGTGGTGTAGTGCCTAAGGCATTTGACTGCTAACCAGAAGGTTGGCAGTTCAAACCCACCAGCCACTCTGAGGAAGGAAGACTGGGCAATCTACTTCCGTAAACATTTACAGGCTTGAAAACCCAAAGAAGGTCGCTATGAGTTGGAATTGACTCGATGGTACACCCCCCAAAATAATTTGCCAAAGAAAAGATCCCATCATCAATGCCCCTTTCCTCACACACCTTTAGGTCACAACTTCTCCAGAATTGAGGGGGTAAAAAAAAAGTGGTAACTTTAAAACAGAAAATAGTCTATTCACTTCAAAATAAATGTCAACTAGTACTACATGTTTCAATTAAATTAACAGGCATAAACATTTTTTCCTGTAGTGTGAAAAATAGAAATTACACCAAAGCAGCCTTTCATGCCTTAGCAAAGTATTGATAACTTTCTCATCAAACTGTATTACAAAGAAAAACCTTGGTAACCATGTTTCCTGATTTAAATCATAGAGAACAGCAATACTATAGCCTTACCAGTTGTTACCCCCCATTTTCAAGCTTGGCGCTAAAATAACCAATGACAACAATATAAAGTGCTATTGTTGTTGCTGTGTGCTATCAAGTTGATTTCTACTCTTAGTGACCCCATAAAACATGCCTCACAGGGTTTCCTGAACTATCATCTTACAGATAGCTAGGTCTTTTCTCCCATGCAGCTGCTGGTGGGTTTGAACCAATGACCTTTCACTTAGCAGCGAAGTGCTTAACTACTGTGCTACCACAGCTCCTTAAAGTGCTACCACAACGAAATTTACTTATGTCATAGATACATAAAGTTTTCACATATAACATGTCACAGAGAAGTCTCAGACTTGAATAAATACCAAAAATCCAGTATTTGGTAATCTAGTATTTTATACTCCAGCCCCAAGGTCTAGCACAGGGTATTAAAAAAAAAAAAAAAAAAACCAAACTCTTTGCCATCAAGTCAATTCAACTCATAGTGACCCCCCCCACTTGGGTTTCCAAGGCGGTATCTCGACTGAAGTAGCTTGCCTAACCTTCCTCCAAAGAGTGGTGGGTGGGTTTGAACTGCCAGCCTTCTGGTTAGCAGTCAAATGCCTTAGGCACTACACCACCAGAGCTGTATACACTCAATAAATGGCAACTATTATTATTAATCATATCCAATATTTTAATCTTTATAATATTTTGTTGGTAGAACTCTTAAAGCATTCATTAAAACCTGCCTTGTATTCTAATTAGTTGTCCTATTTTGTAATTCTTGAGGTGGTGGTTGTTAGTTGTCACAGAGTCAATTCTGACTCATGGCAACCCTTCTAGAGGGCAGGATGGTTTTATACATCAGCATACACCTAACAGGGTGTCACTTAAATGGAAGGCTCGCTGTAAGCATCTGTGAACTAATAAAGCAGAAATTGCAACTGTTCTCATGTTAGCAACTCAAAACTTTTTTAGTAATCCCAAAACTTCAATAGTACAGTTATTTTTAAGAGTATAGAATGCTTTACCAAAAGTCTGTTCCTGTATTCAAAGAGAATTTAAATACATTTACAATTAAAGCAACCAGAAAAACATGCACTAAAACAATGAATCAAAACTGTAATATACTATTTCAAAAAGAGCTATAAAACTTTAAAAAAATGATACAAAACACAGAAGAATAGTAAGTCACAAACAAGATAAAAGAAAAAAATTAGAAGTAAAAAAGAAAATCATTTTAGAGATGGTAGTTACAAAGGCATATGCCTTAAAATAATTCACTAAACTATGTAATTGTTTGTGTGGTTTTCTTTATCTGTGTTTATTTCACAATAAAAAGGTTAAAATTTGGTACATCAGATTATATATATCATAAGTAATAGAAAATCTGTTTGTCATGACAAAGTAAAGTGAAACAGCCATAATCACATAAGCATGGCTTTTGAATATATGTTGTCCTCTTGATAACCTTCTAAAATACACAAATTCAGACATCATCTGGGGTTTGTCTGTTTTTCCAATATTTGTATGTCTCAGGTATACTTAAAGAGGACTATAGCTTCCATTTGTATGGGCATGTATGAAATTAATTAATTTCTCCAAAATCTACATCTAATTCTTATGAAGCTATCATTTGTTTCCTCAGTATTACAAACAAAATAAAAATTCCACTCCTTACGTTTATTTTAAAGGAACTCTGGTGGCACAGTGATAAAAGCAGTTGGCTGCTTACCAAAAGGTCAGCAGTTCGAACTCACCAGCCACTCCGCAGGAGAAAAATGGGGCAATCTGCTTCTGTAAATATTTATAGCCTTGGAACCCTATGGTGCAGTTCTACTTTGTCCTAGGGGTAGCTATGAGTTGATGACAGTGGGCTGGGTTGAGTTTGGTTTTTCAGACCTGAGGTTACTTTGTCGGTTTAGTCAAGGTACCGTTATCTATGGAGTCCCTGGATGGAGCAAACAGTTAACATGTCAGCTGCTAACCAAAAGGTTGGAGGTTCTGAGTCCACCTAGAGGTGCCTCAGAAAAAAGGCCTGGTGATCTACTTCTGAAAAACTAGCCACTGAAAACTATGGAGCCCAGTTCTACTCTGACACATGTGGGGTTCTCATGATTCAGAATCAACTTGACAGCAACTCTAAAACCCTATCAATGAAACAGAGTATCTAATCAGACATGGGAGAAAAACACATTAGACATGAGTTTTAGAAATGAAGATAACCAAAAACCAAACCAAACTCACTGCCATCGAGTCGGATCCGACTCATAGGAACCCCTCCTTGGGTTTCTGAGTGTGGTGTAGTAAATTATTTAGTGTGGCTTTTCTACCCATAAGTCTTTGTAAACTCCAAGGTGGGAATTGCTATTAGCAACTGAGGAGATCCTGATTTTAAAGTCGCCCACCTGGGTTATTTCTGTTGGGCGTGGCACAATACAATGTTCTGGGAGGTTCCCACTCTCTCTCATGTGCTTAGAGTTCTGATGCTATAATTGGCTAGTTTGACCACTCTGCCAAGCTCAAAAGGAGGCCTCCTAGAGGCAGAACTCTCTCTGACTGCTGGCTGAGGAAGACGTGCTGCCGAAAGAGACACGCGCCCCTGCAAGAGACATGTGCTGTTGGGAAAGAGACCCAAGAGACACGCGTTGCTGAGTAAGACACCGAGGGACATGCACTGCTGGGGGAGAGACTGTGAGAAACTTGGCTGAGAGACGGTGGGCTGGGAGAGAGACTGAGCATTTTTCCTGAACTTGAATTGTAGCCTGGTGCTTCCCTAATAAACTTCATAATCTGTGAGTTCTGTGTGGCCACTGCAACGAATTATCGAACCCAGGAGAGAGGTGGTGGTGCTTTGGGAGGAACAGTTGGTGAAAGGGCTGGAGGGAGGCAGCATGTCTGGCCTTGCAGTAATAGGCCTTGCGCTATTGATGGTGATTCTACCTTCCTCTTGTGGGATTAGAGGAGGTCAGAACATGTGGCCTCCTTGCCGTTTTTGCACTGAGGCAGTATCACTACAGAAGTAGATTGCCTAGTCTTCCTTCCAAGGAGTGGCTGGTGGGTTTGAACCTCCAGCCTTTTTGGTTAGCAGTCAAATGCCTTAGGCACTACACCACCCAGGCTCCCAGAAATGAAGATAGACTCTGTAAAGCTGAGTTAGCAGTTTTATAGGCTATACTATATTTTAAATGTATTATATTTAGAAATATTAACTCTACAGTCAAAAATTTAAGGGAAAAAAATTATAACCAGTTTTTAAAAAGCATACCTTTTGAAGTTAAAAACCCATCCATTCATTCTCTCTTTTTAAAGTGCTTTTATATTAGGTGCCTGTACTTAGTAATCTGGGAATTAATGAATAACATGAATAACATATCCAATGGAGTATTTAAAATTTTTAGCACAAAGTAATTCTCCATGTTTCATGTATTATCACACAACAGTATATCATACATATATGATGGGGAGATTTCAGAGCACAAATTTCAATGTTTTATTTAAGTGAATAAACTTACCCAATTTAATATCTCCATCTAAGGTAAAAAGAATGTTGCCCGCCTTTAGATCTCTGTGGATGATTTTATTATCATGTAAGTAGTTTAATGCCTCTAAAGTCTGTTTGCAAACTACTTGTATTTGTGACTCAGTTAATGGTCTCTCAAGTTCTATAAGGAAAAAGTAAACACATCTTCATTTTTATACAATCAAAACATATTAGCCAGCTAGATATCTTTATTGTCACTGTCAAAGATCATATATAGTGAATTTATCTACAAAGAGTACTTTCCTGCCATGTTAGAATTTTATTACAATTACCCAAGAATATAAAAATACAATTAAATAGATTTAATTTATTGAACTTCACTCAACAATAAGATACATAGTAAATGTTTTAAACCCTTTTATTTTTATTAACTACATTTTAAAATATAAAGAACAAAAAGGTATTTACCAAGCATCACAGCATCCACTGCTCCACCTGCACAAAATTCAATGAGGATCTGCATGCAAATAAAACAGCATATGTCTAAAAATACATTGAGTTTAAGTATTTTTTTCTTCAATTTAGCAATAAAGACAAAGGAATAGCTATTAAATTATCGAGACTATGGAAATAATATGAACATACAGCACTTTCATTACCAAGAGTTAGGAGTCTTTAATGATATAGATTCAAGAAATCACAGAGAACACATTGCGGAAGTATGTGTATTTTGTTAAAGACCATGTTTAGTGTCCCTGCTTCTTAAAAATGACCTGGTAATTCAGTCCAAAACCAAAGCAAACTCACTACTGTCGATTTGACTCACAGCGACCCCTCCATGGGTTCCCAAGGTGGTATCTCTACGGAAATTGATCACCCAACCTTCCTCCCGAGGAGTGGCTGGTGGGTTTGAACCACCAGCCTTCTGGTTAGCAGTCTGTACAGCATTAGAAATCTATTTCATCACCAAATATTTTATTACTCTCATTTATAAGGTAATTATTATGATGTAAATGAGCAACTATATTTAACTTTAATAAGATTGAGTTCTAAAATATATAGACACTTTAGTTTTTCTTAGTCTAAGAAAAATAGAGAATTTATACACGTATCTATGGGAGCTCTAGAAGCTCTGGTAGTATAGTGCCTAAGGCACTTGACTGCTAACCAGAAGGCTGAGGGTTCAAACCCACCAGCCATTCCTTGGAAGGAAAATTAGGCAATCTACTTCTGGAGTAATACCACCTTGGAAACCCAAGGAGGGGTCGTTATGAGTCAGATCCGACTCCACAACAATGAGTTTGTTTTTTTTGGTTTATGGGAGCTCTGGTGTCATAGTACCTAAGACATGACTGCTAACCAGGAGGCTGGTGGTTCATACCTACCAGCCACTCCTGGAAGGAAGGCTGGGCGATCTACTTCCATAGAGATACCACCTCGGAAACCCAAGGAGGGGTCGCTATGAGTCACAATCGATTCACCAGCAGTGAGTCTGGGCATTTGACTGCTAACCAGAAGGCTGGTGGTTCAAACCCGCCAGCCACTCCTCGGAAGAAAGATGGGGCAATCTACTGCTGTAGTGATACCGCCTCGGAAACCAAGGAGGGGTTGCTATAAGTTGGATCCGACTCGACAGCAGTGTGTTTGGTTTGGTTTATATATATATATATATATATATGTATATGTATATGTATATGTATATGTATATGTATATATAAACACACATAAATATATAAAATAAGGAGCTCTGATGGTACAGTGGTTAAGGTATTTTGCTGATAACCAATAGGTTGGTGGTTCAAACTCACCAGCCACTTTACAGAAGAAAGATGGGGCAGAGTTTGCTTCCGTGAAGATTTACAGCCTTGGAAACCCATGGGGGTTACTATGGACTTGCTGATAATGAGTTTGATTTTTGGAATATATATATATATATATATAAAAACTTCAGATCCCAGCTCAATTATCACTTCCTGATGAATGCCTTCTTTGACCCCTCTTGCAAGGTAATGACACCATATACCTCTCCTTCTTAGTCCTTAGCACAGCTGTAATTTTATATTTACTTTGATTCTTTAATTACTATCTATCTCTCCCACTAGAATGTCCCTCACAATTTTATAAATTTTTATTTTGCAATGGTCCAAAATAAAGATATTACCTATTTATTACATTGTTTAGAAGTTCATTTTCATTTTAATCTCTGGAAACATTCTGTGTGAGTCAGAGCCCTGGACAACTATAGGAGAAGGCACCATACTAATAATAATGATAGATAATTTTTAAAGTAACATTCACAAGTTGTGTAGCTTCCTGCTCTTTTCCCTCTTTGAATCAAAACAGGATTTTTACAGGTGCTTATTGATTAAAAATTTTAATTCATTACATTATTAGAAAAATAATTTGGGAGGTAGATCATGACTCATTCTATAGATAAATAAACAGGCTCATAAAGACTAAGTGACTGATCTAAGCTGCTAACTGGCAGACAAAATCCAAAAAATAGGCCTTTCGATTCCTTGTACTACCTACTCCTCCTCTCTTCATCACTCTGTTTCTTCCTTCCAAGAAAAGAGCCAAGACTATGTTAAATTAGATCTGGCACACAGCAAGTGACTAACTGGCTATACTGATTATTAATATTTTATTTCTATGTCTATTTGTACCTACTATTTTCCCAAAATGAACAAAATTTATACATACAGCTTTTGCTACTGCATTATGTACTAAAGGTGGAACTAGTAATATATGATAAATATTTAACATTCCTAGCAAGTATTTTATTATTTATTTATTATATGTTAACCACAAGTTTGGGGTAACAAATTATAAATAATTTCTAGGAAAACTAACTTTAGAAAATGTAAAAGCAAATGCTTAAATTTAAATTACAAACAAGAAAAGGCCATCTAATGTCATGTTTTATGAAATTTAATACTCTTAAGTAAGTTCCTCCGTCGGGTCAAATGTCAAACAATCATGATGAAACCTGTATGTCCTGAAAAACAGATCTGAGTTATCGACTGATACGGTTTTACAGTTGCTGTCAAGTTGATTCTGAATCATGAGAACCCCACGTGTGTCAGAGTAGAACTGAGCTCCATAGAGCTCTCAGTGGCTAGTTTTTCAGAAGTAGATCACCACGCCTTTCTTCTGAGGCACCTCTAGGTGGACTCAGAACCTCCAACCTTTTGATTAGCAGCTGAGCATGTTAACTTTTGCACCATCCAGGGACTCCATAGATAATTATGTTGTTAATGATCCTCTTGTCAGCAGATCAACTCTGTTCAGGTAACATAGCAACCAACTAAGAGAAGAGGTGGCTTTCACAACTCATAAAACTCTTTAGGACAATTAACTCACCTTGACTACTCCTACAGAGCCAAAGAAAATGCTTACCCAAAGATTATTCTCAAAATAGAAGGCATCTAGGAGCTTGACTATGTTTGGGTGATCACAAGATGCTAATATATCAATCTCAACCATGTAATCTTCAAGCTCTTCTTCAGATTTGGTGTCAATCACCTTTGCGGCAGCTAAAACATTGGTCTCTTTATTCTGAGCCTGAAAATAAAGTATCAAAAAAATCAAAAGGTATCAAAATAAAAGAATCAAAATGCTTAAAATGCATTTTTTTTTAAGTATAAACATAAAAAAGCCTAAACATATATTAACTAATGCATGGTATACACTGTGCTGTGTTGAACATGCACATAGAATTATGTTTCAAATCACAGGCTCCATTGTGTCAGAGGAGTTCCTGGGTGGCACAAATACTTAAGTGATGGACCACTAACCAAAAGGTTGATGGGTCAAACCCACCCAGATCCAGATTCTTTATAAATCCCATACCATATAATATACCAATTGGAAATAAAATACATCTGCTCTTTAAACAAAAATAAAACAAGATGTTGACTTTGGATGTATTTCTTTAAAACTGAGAAACTAAAAAGAGCATATAAGGTAATTTTTAAATTTATTAACTTTGCTTACACTTTTTGAGTCATGATATAAATAACGAAAAGGGAGTCAAAGACTTACACCTCTAAGTAAACATTCAAACTAAGTAAAGTGCCTATTCTAAAAAACTAGTATATCAGCACTAATTTATAAGAAGTATGAGTTGGTGAGCTGATAAAATTAGAAAAGATGAAGATCTTATAAAATAAATTAAAACAACAAGAGACTCAAAATATACTGTTTTTATTTTTCCTAAGTATATTCAGTGGCTACATCTTTACAGATAAAAACAGACAGCTACTAAGAAACACATGGGTGTAAAGCAATTTTAAGTATTGGTCTTGACATTTTCCCTCCATAGCCTTGCGATGACATTAGTCTCTTAAAAACTTCTTCTGAAAACAATTCATCTTCAGAAAAAAAGATAATTATTCACTGAAACCCAGATTATCTTCCATTAAAACGATCTCAGTTCTCGTTTTAGTACCAAAAAGTGACAGAGTTTTATATAAAAAGTGCAACATTTTATATGGCAATAGCATTTTATATTCAAGCAGAACTCCATGTAGGCAGAGAGAGTATACTGTGACAAAATAAGAATGAATTGCTTCTGTAATTGAATTAGTAAAGATTCATGGAAACTAAAATATAGACTTAAAAAGAAATGAAATGGGAATACAGCAATACTTCACTTGAAGTCTATGTCAGTAAAAAATAATAATGCTGTGCTTCAAAACAAAGATGCAAAGCTTAATAGACATTTATTCTGTCAGAAAGTTTATTATAAAATAATTTACTAAAATCTCAACAATTTCTATTATCAGATTACTTGAAATTGTTCAGGGAAAGTATATAACACAATTAGACAAGTGAAAGAACAAGGAATGTATATATGAAAGAAAAGAAAAAACTTTAAAGAGAACAGAAGGAAAACACAGAAACATGATGACAGATAAATGGACACCGACATGGACAGACATGCAATAAAGCAAATACAGCAAACTATTAACAACTGTGGACTCTAGATGATATATGGATACGTATCGTACAATTCTTTCAGTTTATCTGTAGAACTGAAAGATTTCATCATGAAATGCTGTGGGGAAAAAAGAATTTAGTAAGGTTGAGAAATTGAAGAATTAACAATAATATATTCAAGCAATAATTGCAAAACATAATGGGAGAAATATCTCATTTAAAATAGCAACAAAAAAAAAAACAAACACAAAGACAATAATTAACAAGAAAATACAGAACTTATATGGAAAAATGCTAAAACTCTTGAGAGATAACATTTGTTCAATCTGCCATATGTACCTGGAAATCCCAAATTTCATTTATATTCAGTCTGTTTCCTAATAAATTCATTTTCAATTTTAAAAACATCTAAGAGTTGTTGTTGTTGTTAGGTGCTGTTGAGTCAACTCTGACTCATAGCAACCCTATGTACAACAGAAGGAAACACTGCCTGGTTCTACACCATCCTCACAATCCTTGCTATACTTGAGAAAACATAATTAAATAAACGAAAATAACCCAGATTGTGGACAAAGAACATATAGCCTACAAATAATTTTTTTTAAGAGTTAAATAACCCAATTCTTTTTAATGGGCAAAAAAATAACATAGATGAACATTATAAACATCACACCCAACCACTGGTTCTCAACCAGGGGCAATTATGCCTCCAAAGGGACATATGGCAATGTCTAGAAGCATATTTGGTTGTCACTTGTGGGAAGGGTGCTAGTGGCTTCTAGCGGGTAGAGGCCAGGGATGGTGTTAAATATCAGACAATACACAGCTCTCCACAAAAAAAGTAGAGATCTCTACTTGGATTGTGGATCTGGGGTTCAAAAGGGAAGTCTGGGGGTAGAGGCATATTTGCATTTAGATGGTAAGTGAAGTCATGGGAGAACACATACTGCGGAGGGGGGGGCGGGGAAGGAAGACCCCCTAAAGGACCTACCCCAAGCTCTTTGGAATCCAAACACTTAAAGAGGAAAAAGAACAGCAAAGGAGACTGAGGAGTAGACAACAGTGATGAGAGGAAAATTAAGAGTGTGGTGACCTAAAAGCCAAAACACGACTTTTTTGAAAAAGAAAAAAATGGCCACATGTTTCAAATCCTCCTGAAAGGCAAAGTAAATTAGAAAGCTTCCAAGAATCCTGAAACAATGGCAAGAGCTATGCATGAATGGGAAGTATCAAATACACAAGAAAATGTCACAAAACTGAAGGACATGAGTCTTTGGATTGAAAGTGATAACCAAGAGCCCAAGAAAATGAATAGGTAAAAATTTTTTAAAAAGACCTATACTAAAGTAAATCATTATGACTGTTGTTGTTGTTGTTAATGTGCTGTTGAGTCAGACCTGACGCATAGCGACCCCTCCTTGGGTTTCCAAGGTGGTATCACTACGGAAGTAGATTGTCCAACCTTCCTTCTGAGGAGTGGCTGGTGGGTTTGAACCACCAGCCTTCTGGTTAGCAGTCAAGTGCCTTACGCACTACATTACCAGAGCTCCCTTCATTATGACTAGTGGATAAAAAGATCCTAAATCAAGAGAAAAAGCTCACAAAAGGATCAGAAAACAAAATAGCATCACACTTTCAACAGCAAAATTTGACACCAAATGATAATGAATAGAACAAAGTCAGAAATTCTAAGAAAAACTTATTTTTGTATATCAATAAGTTTTTTTTAGATATAAAAATATGTAACATATTTGCCTATTCAACATTTTTATGTGCACAACTTAGTGGTATCAATTACAGTAATTATGCTGTGCAACATTCACCAGTCATCAGTACCAAACAGAAACACTTATTTTTGAACTAGAAGTCTATAACAAACCACACATCAAGTATGACATTATAATAAAGACATGCAACATTTCAAAGCAATGTACCTTCCACAGATCCTTTCTCAGAATACTGTACACAAACAAAGCAAAGAGGAAACTCCAGTAGAAAAACTTTGTGCTCCCAGAACTTCTAGGGAGAAAATTATAACCACTTATTGAAAGAAATTAAAAAAGACCTAAATAGATATATACCACATGCTTACATGAGAAGACTTAATACCATACCAAACTAACCAAACACGGCCGTTGAATCAGATCCAACTAACAGCAACCCTCCTTAGGTTTCTGAGGTGGTATCACCACAGAAGTAGATTGCCCAGCCTTTCTTCCAAGGAGCAGCTGGTGAGTTTGAACCATCAGCCTTCTGATTAGCAGTCAAATGCCTCAGGTAGGAAAGCATTTAGCTGCTAACCACAAGGTCAGCTGTTCAAACCCACCAGCTGCTCCTCAGAAGGAAGATGAAGCAATACACTTCTGCAAAGATTCACATCCTTGGAAACCCTTTTGGGGTTGCTATGAGTCAGAATTGACTCAATGGCAGTAGGTTTGGTTTCTTAATATCATAGAGAAAGTTAATTTTTCCAAAGTTGATTTCCCCTCCCAAAAAAACAAAACTCATAGGATTTTTTGTTGTTGTTGTTGGAATATTTTGTTTGTTTTTGTGGAACTCAGCCAAGCTAATTGTAAAATGTACACGAAAGTGCTAGGGACCAAGAATACACAAGACACTGTTGAAGAACAAAGGGAAGACTTATTAATTTATTTTAATGCTCTCCCAATTAAAATAGTGGGAGCTCTGGTGGCACAGTGCCTGAGGCATTTGACTGCTAATCAGAAAGCTGGCAGTTCAAACCCACCAGCCACTCTTAAGGAAGAAGATTGGGTAATCTATTTCCGTAGAGATACCACCTCAGAAACCCAAGGAAAAGTTACTATGAGTCAAATGGATTCGACAGCAGTGAGTTTGGTTTAGTTAAAATAGTGGGATACTGGTACAGGAATAGACAAATAGATAAATGAAGAGAATACACACACACACACACACACACAAAATGAGATCACAAAAAACAAACACACATTATATAATAGAGTGCCTGCAGAGCAGTGAGGAAATTTTCTTTTCCCCAATGAATGGTGTTGGGACAATGGGTATCCATAAGTGAAAAAAATTAAATTGGACCCCTACCTCAAATCTATTCCAGCCACTCCTTGGAAGGAAGGTTGGGCAATCTACTTCCATAGTGATACTGCCTGGGAAACCCAAGAAGGGGTCACCATGAGTCAGCGATGACACATAACAGCCAGATTGTAATCTAAATGTTAAAAGCAAAGCCAAAAAGCTTTTATAACATAGGTTATCACCTCAGGTTAGGAAAGAAAGTCTTAAACATAACACAAAAAGCATTAACTATAAAAGAAAAGACTGACAAATTGGACTACATTGAAATCAAGAACTTCCTGTTCATAAAAAGACATCATTTATCAAAATAGTGAGAGGACAAGATACAGATTTGAAGAAAATTTTCCAGAACTATATATCTGATAAGGATCCAATATCCAAAATATATTGAAAACAAAGTCTTCAACAAAGAGGCAAACAATTCAAAAAATGAGCACAGAACTTGAACAGGCATTTCACCAAAAAGGATAATCAAAGGGACAAACAAGCACATGAAAAGATGCTCAACCTCACTAGCAATTCCAAACCAAACCCACTGCCATCAAGTCAATCTGGACTCACAAGGACCCTCTACGGCAGAATAGAACTGCCCCATAGGGTTTCCAAGGCTGTAAATCTTCATGAAAGCAAACTGCCACATCTTTCTCCACTGAGCAGCTGGTGGGTTCAAACTGTTGACCTTCTGATTCGCAACCAAGCACTTTAACCACTGCACCATTAGGTGCACAACTCTCTAGCCATTAGAAAGATGCAATCAGTGCTGGCAAGGTTATAGAGAAACCGGAACTCTCATCCATTGATGATGGAAATGCAAAATTGGTACAGCCATGGTAGAAAACAGTTTGGCCATTCCTCAAAAAGTTGAACCCTGAACTACCTACTACATGACATAGCAATCCCAGTCCTAGGTACATACCCACAAGAAGTGAAAGCATAAACACAAACAGAAACCTGTACTCCAATGTTCACTGCAGTATTATTCACAATAGTCAAAAGGTGGCAACAACTAAAATGTCCTTCAACAGATGAATGGATAAACAACATGTGGTATATACACATAATGAAATACTACTCAGCTGTACAGAGAAATGAAGTCCTGATGCCTGCCACAACATAGACAAACCTTGAACGTTATGCTGAGTGAAATAAGTCAGTCACAAAAGGACAAATAGTGTATAATCTCACTTATATGAAATAAGCAAATGCATAGAAACCAATAAATAGTAGTAGTTACTAGGAATGAGGGAGCTCTGGTAGCATAGTGGCTAAGGCACTTGACTGCTAACCAGAAGGCTGGCGGTTCAAACCCACCAGCCACTCCTCGGAAGGAAGGTTGGG